CTGGAGACCCCCCCTCCCAGCCCCCAGAGCAGGGTCACCCCCAGCAGGTCCCACAGGAGCCTCCAGAGGGGCTGGGGTGTCTCCAGAGAAGGAGCCTCCACAGCCTCTCTGGGCAGCCTGGCCCAGGGCTCTGCCACCCTCCCAGGCAACAAGTTCCTCCTCCTGGGGAGCTTGACCCTCCTGTGCTCCAGCTTGTGCCCATGGCCCCTTGGCCTGTCCCTGGGCAGCCCTGAGCAGAGTCTGGTCCCCCCCTGCTGACCCCCTGCAGATCCTGCTCAGCCTTGAGGAGACCCCCCCTCAGGCTCCTCCTCTCCAGCTGAACAGCCCCAGCTCCCTCAGCCTTTCCTCCCAGGCAGATGCTCCAGCCCCTCAGCACCTTGGGGGCCCTGCCCTGGACTCTCTCCAGCAGCTCCTTGGCCTTCAGCCCCAGAACTGGGCACACAAGCCCCGGGAAGGCTGCTGGAGGCAGGAGATGGACCCTGGAGCTCTGGGGTTACTCACACTGACGTTCAGCTCGCCCAGGTAGAAGCCCAGCAGGGCAGCACTGAGCTGCACCGCGCGCTGCCGCTCCTGCTCCCTCGGGGACCTGATCCAGGGGCCCAAGTGCTGCAGGGGAGAAGCAGCAGGAGGTGAGATAAAGGGGAAGGGCCTCAAGTTGTGCCAGGGGAGGCTGAGGTTGGATCTGGGGAACAATTCCTGCCTGGCAAGGGTTGGCAGGGCCTGGCCCAGGCTGCCCAGGGCAGGGGGGGAGTCCCCATCCCTGGAGGGGTTTCCAAGCCCTGGGGATGGTGCTGAGGGACACGGGGCAGTGGGGAATGGGCAGGGCTGGGGGATCCTAAAGTTCTTTTCCAAGCCAAACCATTCCATGCTTTGCCCAGATGTTCTCCAGCCCAGCAACCCCTTATCTTCAGGGCAATGTTGGGTCTCTGCCTCTTGGTGGGCTTGTGTGTGTGTGTGTCCATCCCTCCCACCAGGGACCTCCTCATCAGCCACCCTTCCTGGGCACCAGCAGGCACATCCAAGGGGGGCAACCACATCCTTCTTCCCCTCCAGACCTTGCCCAGCCCCTGCAGGAGGTGGGACAGGGCATCCTGGCACACAGAGAGGACCAGCCTCACTAGTTCCTCCTCTGGGTCCAAAGCTGTGTCTGCCTGCTGACCTCTGGTGGATCCGTGCCCACCTTGGGCTCCCCCACCCCTCCCTGCACACCCCACCACGTCCATCCAGGCTGCACCTACTGCAAACATGTCCTGCAGCCCGTGGGGGGTCAAGTTCCTCTGCAGGAGCCTCTTCAGCAGGTCCTTGAGGGCACTCATGGTGTCATCATACAGCATCTGAGGAGGAAGGAGTCACCACAGGCTCCTCCAGCACCTCATCCCACCCCCCAGAGCCAGCCCGGGCACGGGGGGAGGGACAGGACCCCTCTCTGCATCCATTCTCAGCTCGGGGGACATTCCCTGGTGCTGGGGGACAAGTCACAACCCCCCCCAGCCTGGAGGGAAAACACAGCAGGGACTGAAGCCCCGTCGAGAGGGACAGGATCTGAGGAGGGTTTGGGATGGAAGGGAAACCCTCTGAGGAGGGTTTGGGACCTTAAAGGTCATCGAGTTCCAACCCAGAGTCAGCAGTGGTGGCCGTGACCTTGAGTGAGGACCAGGGCTGAGCACAGCACAAAGAGGCTCCTGTGGCCCCTTCCCAGAGGGGAACTTGGTCCTTCTCCCCAGGAGGGGGGGGTAAATTCCAACGAGCCCTTTGAAGATGCTTGTGGGTTCCTTGTGGGATAAACACCAACCAAGGAAAGCTGGAAAGGCTTCAGCAAAGGGGGCTGAGGGGAGACCTGCTGGCTCTGCAGCTGCTGAGAGGAGGTTGGAGCCAGGGGGGTCGGGCTCTGCTCCCCAGGAACAAGCCCTGGGCCAAGAGGGAACGGCCTCAAGTTGTGCCAGGGGAGGTTGAGGTTGGATCTGGGGAACAATTCCTGCCTGGCAAGGGTTGGCAGGGCCTGGCCCAGGCTGCCCAGGGCAGGGGGGGAGTCCCCATCCCTGGGGGGGTTTCCAAGCCCTGGGGATGGTGCTGAGGGACACGGGGCAGTGGGGAATGGGCAGGGCTGGGGGATCCTAAAGGGCTTTTCCAGCCAACCCCAATAATTCCACGACTCTGAGTGAGCCTGGGAGCAGCTCCTGGAGCCCCCACCTCCTTCTCCAGGACCTCAGCCCCGCTCTCGTCCCGCTCCCTGCCGCTGTCGGGGGGCAGGGCCAGCACCCCAGCCAGGCACGTGTCCACCAGCTCCGTCCTGTCGGGGTCACTCAGCTGGGGCTCCAGGGCCCTGCTCCCACGTTAAGGAATCACAGCATCACCAGGGCTGGAAAAGACCTTTGGAGATCATCAAGTCCCCCTCTGTGCCCTGACACCCCCACATCCCGGGCAGCAAGTGCCACCCCCAGCCTTTCCCTGAGCACCCCCAGTGGTGCCTCCAGCACCTCCCTGGGAAGTCCATCCCAGTGGGTCTGTGGATGTGGTGTTGGGGGATGTGGTTGAGGGGAGAACTTTGCAGAGCAGGGATGATGGTTGGACTGGGTGATCCCGAGGGGGCTTCTCCAACCTGAACAGTTCCATGATCCCAACGAACGTCTGATCCCCCTCCCGGGGAGGAAGCACCTCCTGATGTCCAAGCCAAACCTCCCAGGAGCAGCTTCAGGCCAGGCCCTCCTGCCTTGTTGCTGCTTTCCTGGCAGGAGATCCTGCCCCCCCAGCAGCAGGGATGCAGCCCTGGCAGCCCCTTCCCCCGGGCAGGGCAGGGGGGGTTTCCTGCCCTCCTGGCCCCACATTCCCAGGGTCTGTGCTGGGTCACACCAACCCCCCTTTTTTTTCCCCCCCGCCCAGGACCACCCTGCCCAGCTCCAGCGTGTGCCCATCCCTGGGGAGGGGGTCTGGGCTCCCCGGGGAGGGGTCTGGGCCCCCGTGGGAGGGCTGGGAAGGATACAGCAGGTGGGAGCAGGTGAGCATGGCGCGCTGCCGGACCCGCGTGCGCAGCGCGTCGGGGGGCTCGGCCCTCAGGAACTCCTGGGGGGCAGAACCAGGGGATGGTCACAGGCACATCCAGCCCCGTCCCACCCCTGGGCCAGGAGTCAGGAGCCACAGCTCACCAACCTGACCCCACACACCTCCCCTTGGACAGCACGGACATGGGGATCATCGTGGAAACATGGGATGGGGTGGGGGGACCTCAAAGCCCACCCAGTGCCCCCCTGCATGGGCAGGGACACCTCCCAGTGCCCCCCCTGCATGGGCAGGGACACCTCCCAGTGCCCCCCTGCATCCCAGGCCCCCCCCCCATGGGCAGGGACACGGTGCTGATCCTGGAGCAAAGGAGGCTGAGGGGAGACCTGCTGGCTCTGCAGCTGCTGAGAGGAGGTTGGAGCCAGGGGGGTCGGGCTCTGCTCCCCAGGAACAAGCCCTGGGCCAAGAGGGAACGGCCTCAAGTTGTGCCAGGGGAGGTTGAGGTTGGATCTGGGGAACAATTCCTGCCTGGCAAGGGTTGTCAGGGCCTGGCCCAGGCTGCCCAGGGCAGGGGGGGAGTCCCCATCCCTGGGGGGGTTTCCAAGCCCTGGGGATGGTGCTGAGGGACACGGGGCAGTGGGGAATGGGGAGAGTTGTGTTATGGTTGGATTTGATAATCATAAAGGTCTTTTCCAACCAGAATGATTGGGCAGCAGGCCCAGGGGGGGCAGCAGGTCCAGGGGGGGCAGCAGGTCCAGGGGGGTCAGGACCCTTCCCCACAAGAGCCCAGGGGACACATGGGGACAGTGCAGAGCAAACCCCCCCTTCCCACAGGGCACCCAGGGATGGAGCAGCTGTTCCTGCACTTAACCCTCAGCAAGGTGGCTCAGGGACCTCCCTGGTGTCCCCCAGCCCAGCCCCCCAGCCAGGCCACCCTCCTGGCCCTGCTCTTACCACCATCTGGGCCACCAGCTCAGCTTTACGGGACAAGATGAAGTCCCCACACTTCCCCCCATTGCAGATGGCTTGGCTGATCATGCAGATGCTCCTGATGAGGCAGAGCTTCAGGGTCAGGTCCTGAGAGCAAGAACCCGGGGTGAAAAGTGACCACCAGGCTCAGCACCACAGCTCAGCACCCTCCCCAGGGCTGGTGGCCCCTCCAAGAGCACTGGCTGAGCACAACCAGGCTCTCTGGTGACCAGGGGGCATGAAGACACCCTGTCCCCAATGCCCAGGTCACCAGGAGCTTCCTGGCAGCACATGGGATGAGGACAATCCTCCAAGGTCTCCCTCCTCCCCTCCAAAGCAGCACCCTGAGCAGGCAGATGCTCCAGAAGCTGGAGGAGCTTTTCCTCCTGGACAGATTGGGGTCCAGGGCAGTGGACACGGGGCCCAGAGGAGCCACCCCCATGGGAAGCACCTCCCTGGTCCCAGCCCTCAGGAGGACACGGAGCCAGGGGAGGGTTGGAGTGAGAAGGTCCCAGCCTGGGGGCTGGAGATGCTCTGCAGAAGCTGTTAGTGCCAGCAGGAGCCCAGGAGGAAAAAGCATTAGTGGAGCCAAGAGGAGGAGCCCTTGGCCTGGAGCTCAGCTGGACTCTTTGCTTGGGCAGAAACAACAAGAGGGACAGAAAACCAGGTCCCCTGGTTCCCCCAGGGCAGTAACTGGGGCTCCAGGAGCTGCCCAGGGAGGGGAGGGTCTGGGGGAGGGAGGCAAAGAAGTTCTGTGGATTTGAGCTGAGCAGGGGATTCCACAGCTGGATCCCCAGGGAAAAATGGGGGTGGGAGCAGAGGGGCTGCCATGGGCAGGGGGCACAGGGGCTGCCATGGGCAGGGGGCACAGGGGCTGCCATGGGCAGGGGGCACAGGGATGGTGAGCA